CTGTTTGGCCAACAGGCCGCCTGGGCCTATTGACCTCTGGCGCCAAGGAGAGCACACCCAGTTTCGCTGACTCTGGGCTTAAGCCAATTTTTGCCCAGGGACGGTCCCTACAGATGTAAACATTTCTTCCCCTCTGTTTATCTCTAAGTTAAATATCTCCATTTTTTAATTCTTCTGTATCTGACAGTATTTCCAGAATTTTTAAGTTTAAAAAACGAAAAAGAATTTTCAAAATATTGTCTGACAAGACTAGTATCTTACTAACTTCATTGCTTTGGAGTCTATATCATTGGAATCCTAGTTTTTATTAAGTCTGTAGTGTCTCTAGGGCTACTCAATAGCTTTCACAGACCCCTCTACCACTACGTCATCTTTAGGCAAATAGGTTATGAACTATCTTTTCTTCCCTCAACTCTATCTACAATGATCACAGAATTATCTTTTCAAGGTATAATTTTGTCATGACCCCCATAGAATAGATCTCAAGCTCCTGAGTGTGGCATGCAAGGCCCTTCAATATCTGGCCTTTGTTTAGGTGTCTACTCTCAGCTATATTCCTTTCGTCACCTGTGGTCTCCCCTAGCCACCCTGAACAGATAACTAAATCCCTTTCCTGTCAATGCTCTTACACCTTAATGAAAAACCAAGTTTCTTACTACTTAGAATGTCTGCCACCATCTTCCTTCAGATGGGGCCTGTGCCAGTCTTGGGGCTGTTTTCCCTTGGATCCAGTCCCTACCCTTCCTCTGTTCTGCTCTGTGTTGGGGGGAGGGGAGAGGGGACATGACACTCATTGCTGCAAGTTGCATTTCTCAGGTTCCCAGGTCAGCTGATATTTGGGCTGGATTCTGCCCTGGGGAGGCTAGGCAGTAGGTAGGAGGTGGGAAAAGGGAAAAATCACTGTGTTTCTCCCTCTGCCTCTCTATGTGGGAGAAGTCCCTGGAAGTGGCTGCACCATGTCTGAGGCTCCAGCTCCTATTGGAAAGGTCTACATCAGTTCCAGCTTTTTCTGGGGGACTACAGCCTCTGGGCTCTGGTCACACCATCTCTTCTCTTTCTCTCTCCAGCTGAGGTTGGTGGTGACTTCCTACTGTTGCTAGTTTCTGGGTTGCATCACTACCACCCCGTTGATATTTTAACTCTTCTAACATCTATTGAATTGGTTCTTTGCATTGCATCCCTTCTGTTCTAAGTACTTACGGTAGTTTCTGTTTCTTGGTTGGTTCCTAGGTAGGACAATGTTAAATGTCATCTCTATGAGTATTATCTTGATTTTCCTGCCATTGCTTGACCCCCATTTTTGGCAACTAAAATAGTTGTACTTTATGAAACTTTCTGTTCTATTTCCTCATTTTATCTGTGTCTGTAATAATAGATTAGGTTGCCAGCTGCAGTAATAGATAATCCCAAATCTCAGTGGCTTATGTGCACAACATTTGACTTTTTCCTCACATTATATGGCCGCCTCTGGCTGGCTCTAGCTCTGCCCCGAGCTATCTGAATTCTGTACCTGGAACTGATGGAATAGTCTTTGTCTTGAGCATTTCGGATTATCACGGCCACAGGGTAAGAGAATTTGGTGAACTGTGGGTTAACTCTTAACACTTCTTCAAAGGATATATATCACTTCCAGTCATGTTTCATTGGTCATAGCAAGTCATCTGACCATTCCTGACTTCTTTAGGAGGGGAATATATAATTCTTCTCTGGGAAGGGAAGGCACCAAATATGGATTATTATAATGTAGATTTACCACATTGCTTGACCACTTCAAAGTAATAGTCACCTGGGATGCTCCATTCTACTTGAAATTTTCTGTTTTCATGAATTATGTGCTATCTGTCCCTCCTATCCCAAGTTTTCTCCTATTTGACCATTACTTTTTGGTTTCTTTAAATGAGCCTTATTATTCTGACTTCCCTTGAATGTTGATGCCTCCAAAGATTCTAAACTTGATTCTTCTCTTTTCACTTTGTATGTAATCTTTGTTGGGGGATCTCGTGCACTACTGTGGGTACCAATATAATTTCCATGTTAGAAACTCCAAAATCTATAGCTATAATTTATGTTTCCTTTATAAGGAAAAGAGATTTTGTTACCTGAAAGATACCTTTAAGAGATGCTTTTTAAATGTACAACTCAACAGATTTCCAACTAAACTTATTATCTCTCTTTCAAAATGCAGTCTTCTGTTCTAATTTCCTATCTCAGTTTATAGCACAACTATTTTCTTGGTTGCCTAAAACACAAACTTTGGCATCATCCTAAGTACTTCCTTTCATGAACCTTTTCTTCTGCTTGGTAGACAAACTCTGTTCTTTTTTTTTTTTT